CTTCTCTCATCCATCCCGAGAGGACGCTGATGGATAAAAAAAAAATATCCCGAATGAAATCGTGTTTTTCTGCGTTAAATGTTCGGTAATAACCGTGTGTCCTTCCGCAGCGTTAATGCAGGGAATCAAACCGGCGACATGTTGACGTGACGGTAAAAGCAGCATGTGGTGATGAAGACCTGCTTCTTCTTCATCGCTCCGGAGTCTGACCCAGTTCAGTCTTTGTCCTCTGGAAGGGGGAGGATGGAGTCTGCATCCTGCCGACAACACCGCTACATTATTATTACAAGGTTATTAACTAAAATCATTACATTACTTTAAATTACATTTACATGCATATAAAAGCTTCTGTTTAAAAAAACAACTTTAAAAATAAAGAAAATCTCTGTTTATATAATCAATTTACATCAATAATTGAAGAGGCTCAACATGACAATACATCAGCTCACAGAGATAAATAGTTTACTTTATTAATATCCCATCAATATCCATTATGGAAGCTCAGTAACCCAAAAAAACCCAAAACATTTGTTCATGTTTAAATTGTATGGAAGCCCTTTTCGACAGGAGCCACACACACAGTAAAAATTATGAGACACTAAGTGATGATGAGATTTACTAACTAATATTCTTTATTGTTATTATTTCGACTTATTGGATTAAAAATCCTTGTTTATATAAGAAATTACCAGTCAGGCAGAATAGTTAAAAATAGTATCCTTTATAAAAGCCACAATTATCATTATGAATTTTTTTTAATATATTATAAACATATTTTTCACACACTGAGCCAAAATTATGCATTTTTACTTGTTTGAATTGTACGGAAGACCTTTTAGGACAGTTAGGAATGAACCCAAATAGTTGAAGATTTGATGCTTCGATGGGCGGAGACTGATTTAATCTCACCATTGAATCTTTGCAGCCTTGAAACGAGGATCATACCATTTTGGCTAAATGGGGGAGCTCAATGTCTCATTTTATATAGAACTACCGGTCGGTTTTCTCCCAATAAGTTAATATACAACCTATTATGATATAAATTTGAACATATAATGCTGTAAATAAAAGTCAAAAGCAGGGGCGATTCTAGGATCAGACCTACAGGGGTGCTCAGCCCCTAAGAGAGTGTAGCATCAATACAATGCATGCTCTGGGGGTCCTCCCCAGAAGATTTTCAGCATTAAACTAGTAATTTCCTGCAATCTGGAGACATTTTCTGCTCCAATTTACGGTGGAAATGTATTTTTTTATATGAGGGAAACCGTATTGTGTTGCATGTTTTCTTATCGTGCAAATAACCTTTTCTCAAGCATTTCATTTTTTTAGTTAGCATTTCTCGCAGAGAGAAAAGGTCAAATGTGAGAGTCAGTTCAGCTGGAAAATCTCAGTGTAACACTGAGCAACGAACCGAGACTCTAGCTCTGCAACTTCTCAAGATTACAGCAGAGCTACTGTGTACACATACATTAGTACAGTAGTTTTACATAATGATATAAATAACACTGTACATTATGATCTAATGTGTATCATTTGTGTGTATATACACACACACACACACACACACTGTATATATATATATATTTTTTTGTACGTTATGAATTTTTGACTAAGTCTGAATTGTAACACACTGATAATTATTAATTAATTAAAATAAAAAATTGACTTAATGCATTTCAAATAAGACCAAATATCATGTTTATATTTTGTAAGCCAACAATAAGATACGATTACAATAATACCAGACTACAGTAAAATTATGGATTCTTTAAGATGCTGTTGATGAATTTAAATAACTATACGTGTGCAAAGGTATATACGGTGAGAATGAACGAAAAAACAGCAGAAGTTAAATGTTACCAGCAATAAAACTGTTTAATATTTTGATTAATGTGGTTCAAGAAACAAAGCCTCCGTAATCACAGCAGAGTGACGACGTGATGATACGGAAGCACAATGACAACACTAAACCTTTGGTTAGTCCACATTAACAGATAAAAGGAAAACTAATCCAAATTATGAGATGGTTACAGAGCCAGCACTTTGATTTAATATGAGTATCTTTAATTTTCCTGGCGTTCGCGGCCTTCCATAGGTTCCTGTCACTCACAATCTTTGCATCCTTCCAGCATCTTTTCATAAAACACACCTGTCTGACTCGAACAGGTGCAGACGAATTAACGTCCGTCTGGGTACGAACTCAGATTAAACACTCGGTCGTACTTCAGAGTTCAGTTCAAACACAAACTCGTCCTTCAGCTGAAACGTGCGGCGCTGCACGATCCTCTGAGAGACGGCGTCATCCCGTCGTCCCTTCATTCAATGTCCGCCATCTCGACGTCCCCCTGGGATCCGGCAGGAGTCTTTTTCTTCTTCTTGGTTGGAGCAGGTGTCGAGTCCTGTTTCTTCTTCGGTGGTGCCGCCGCCGCCGCCGCTTCGACTGAGGAACAAACAACAGAATTAATCACCACAAAAGTGAAACGTCATCATGAAGCATCAAAGTGAATAACAAGGAACACAAATGTTTTTCCTCTGAGCTTTTTAAGCATCACTACAGTGTCTTTAAAGTCCCTTTCCTCGTGGTACCGGCTCAAGTCGCCGCCACCGAGGTTCCAAGCGAGCTGAGGCGATCCCAAAGTACCGATAACTTCGCTGTTGACCGTTCAGAAGGTTTCTACCAAAG